CCGGCCTGATATATATATATTTTCTTAACCTCGAAATCCTGTCCATACATACCCATTTTAGCCCGAAATCGAGGGATGCTCTTTTAAATCGCAGTCGTCACATATGTACTTGAATTCAATGAATTTTTTAACGTTCAGTTCAAATATCTTCAAATGTAAAAGTGTCCCGTTCGTGTATACTTTTATATTATTACTCAAGGGAGGCTCCTCCTTCGATTTTAGCACTAAATAACTACAGAAAAGTTCAAGGCAGGAGGTTTCAACAATATATATGTTACTAGAAGTACTTGCAATACTTCTTAAGTTACAACTTATTTATAATATACCATCTATGTACTATATACATATGTATGTAAATAACATGCATTTTCATTTCTTGGTATATAATTATTAATATTCATCAACCTACCCGTTATATTTGCACTTTGTAACAACACTTCTGGATTTAAATTATACTAAACAAATAATATTGCATTTTTAAGTCATTAGTATTACCGAACATTATTTTTTGTAAATATAAACAATTGCAATTCGATATTACCTGTGAGGTAAACAAATTAGAAATGTGAAATTAATTTCGATAACTTGAAATTCATTCCAATTAGCCAAGTTGCCATCACACAATCAGACCGTAGTATTTATTCGCAACAAACTTTAAAAAGATTACCATTTTTCTATTGCCATTTCTGAAATAGGCCGAATTGTTCAATGAGTAAATCTTTTAAATTGGTCAATTCGGCCTTACTGGTCATATTCATTGATACATTATACTTTGACAACGAAACCAAGAAAGCAAAGCGGTTGTTACCTACGATTCGCTCCGCTTTGCTTTGTTTCTCCTCTCATCGAACATCAGAGCAAATCTAAGACAATGCGAAGGAAATGTTTTATATGAATCAGATGTCAACTTTTTATGCTTTGATCAGCAGGAGTTGCTATTTTTATTGTTGCTTCCCTGCCAGTCGTTTCTTCGTTTTGCTACGTGGCGTCAATTGGAGATTCCAAGCGAAACCAGGTCCTTCTCCACCTGGTCTTTCCAATGGATTGGAGGTCTTCCTCTGCTTCTCCTGGCGGGTACTGAGTCTACTTTCAGAGCTGGAGCTATATCAATGTCGTCATATACAGTTCATCGTTCCATCGAATGCGATATTCAGCGTGGCCAACGCTCAAAGGATCATAAATCTTTCGCAGAACCTTTCCCTCGAAAACTGGTAACGTCGACTCATCAGTTGTTGTCATCGTCCGTGCCTCTGCACCATATAGCAATATAGCAGGACGGGAATAATGAGTGACTTATAGAGTTTGGTTTTTGTTCGTCGAGAGAGGACTTTCCTTCTCAATTGCCTACTCAGTCCGAAGTAGCACCTGTTGACAAGAGTTATTCTGCGTTAGATTTCCAGGCTGACATTATTGATGGTGTTGATATTGGTTCCAAGGTAGACGAAATTTTCTACGACTTTTTGTCGGCATTCGCGTCTCGCATCCCTTTTCAACTCTCTGTATGTGTGACCTTTTGCATTGTGATCGATCGCAACATTGCGAGGTAGTCAGTCTGTTTTCTCTGCACTCCTTGTCGTACCAGCTGTTCATTTGCATTTTCCGAAAACCAATGGTTTCGGTTGCAGCTGTATGTAAGGGACTTGAAATGCCGTCCCAGAGTTCGCTTATACTGAGTTGTTGATGAGTGTAGTAGTGTAAGTGGAATATTAAAGTATTTCGCTGTCGGTTATGATACTAGCTTCTTGACGTCGTGTCCAAATTAAGGGCAGTGGATACATATCGTCCACCTATCACCACTTGATCGATTGTCGAACCTTTCGACAAGCAGCTTGTTTAATTTTACTGTGCTGGAATCTAGCACTACAGATAACCATATTTCGGGCCCTTGCGAAGTCGATCAGCTTCATCCCTTTTGGAGAGGATGACAAAACCTCTCCAAATGGGAGATTGAATTTTCCAACAGTTGTACTGCCTTTGCCACCCTGGCGTTAAGATCGCCAAGCCATAAGCAACTCAATTTTACTTTATGTTGTTTAAAAATATGTTCAAACGTGACTTTTCTCATTTTTTTTAGTTTTAGAATAGAAGATAATTATCTGCCAGAGATAATCAAACTTTGCCCCAATTTCATACGACGTTTACTTTTTTCTATCCTGCCCGCCAATTAAGAATAATCGTAAAAATGAAAAACCGAGAAACCGTGCTTCAAAGTTTTCGCTTTTTGCCAAAAACGGTCGGTCACTATTTACCTATTTCTAGCTTCGATAATATTTCGAATTCTCATTTATAACTTTGGGGATATATTCTTAGATAACTTTTAAACAGATTTAAAAAAAATCGATAGTTTGAAGCTTCTAAGCATGCTCCCCCCCTAAATAGAGATTTCCTATCAGAATTTATTGATCTTATAAAAAATTAATAGGCAATTTGGCAAAAGAAAAGTGATAAATATAAAAATAAAATTGAGAAAAAGAAAAGTTGGAATAACTTATTAACGAAATACAAAGAAATAAATAAAAGTACTACATTAGAAGTAAATTCGAAGATATGTTCGGCTCGCTTGACTGTCGCACATGTTCACTGTGTGAAGAACGAACGCAAAATTGATCTGTGTATGACGAAACGATTTCATATAGAATTTCATACTATCGATGGATTTTTGTTTCTTTAGTTCTGGTTTATTGGGATGTGGTATAACAGGCCACAGTCTTGAATTGTCTGATGGAAGTCTAACAGAAGCTGAGCAGTGTGAAATATACGGTTAGTTGGTCGGAATGATTCCACAACCTACTTTTGGCTGGTATTGTTCTTTTCCGCTTAATCTTTCGCCATGGTAAGAGGATTTTATGTATTAATGTGGTAATGAGATAGTGTTTTTTTTGTTAAAAATGTTTTTGAAATACATCTGATATAAGCATGGCATTTTTATTAGTAAATTTCGACTTCTTTTTTTTTTGCAATTTTTAGGGTCGTGTTCGAACTAAAACAGTTAAGAAGGCCGCAAAGGTCATTATTGAGAAATACTACACGCGCTTGACGTTGGATTTCCACACAAATAAAAGAATTTGTGAAGAAGTGGCTATTATTCCTACAAAGCCATTGAGGAATAAGATTGCTGGGTAAGTCTTATGGCGCAAACTGAGAATAACATTATACTAAATATCCAAATTTTTAGATATGTTACACATTTAATGGGTCGTTTGCGACACTCTCAAGTTAGAGGCATTTCCATAAAACTGCAAGAAGAAGAGCGAGAACGTCGTGATAATTATGTACCAGCTGTATCTGCTTTGGAACAGGACATAATTGAAGTTGATTCTGACACCAAGGAAATGTTGAAGCTCTTGGATTTCCACAATATTCGTGGTTTACAATTAACTCAGCCATCAACCGGTGGCGCATTCAATAGAAGAAATTAAACTTGTGTTTTAGTGCGAACAAAAATACATTTTTAATTTAACAAAAATATTTCGTTTGAAATTCTTGAATAGGAAAGTGTCAGCTCTTTTCTATATCCCATTTACTTCAATAACATTACTTCAGCGAAGTAAACAATTAATTGCTCGTTAGAAATAGAATGAAAGGTATGATATATGTAACAATACTAATTGGTCATATCCGCAAATATTGCTCCCATTGAAATATGGTTATAAAGACTCGAATGTTTACAAACCAGCTTAATACCGTCACCTTAAATGCAAAATAACATCAAAAACTGTAATTGCAACATTTTGTGAGAGTTGCTATATTAGATTCACATTTCTTTATTCACTTCTATTAAATAGAAGTCACAAAATTTTGTGTGCTGTAATTTTTCTATAAGTTAAAGAGTGATGCTTTAAATTTGGTTGTAACAAACACAATCTTTTCTAATATAAGTTCCGACCAGACATTGCTTTTGTTCACAGAGGATGTAGAACAGAGAACACAAAACTATAGAAGCTGGTGAAATGTCAAAAGCTAACAAAGTGTGCTGAGCTGGTCTACCCGGAAAAACAATGCAGTTCCCAGTTGGTCGTCCTAATAACAATAAATATAAATTGAATCATTAGTAACAATAAATGCACATATGGATGTGTGTCTGACTTTGTCAAACAAATAATTCATACATTATCTTATTAATATTACTTACCTCGCACAGCATCATAAGTCAATATGCCGGTCAAATTGCCAAAATTTATATTCATGAACGCAAACACACACTCAACAAGCAAAGTTGATTCATTCATTATATTCCACGCAAAACTAAGTATAAGTATTTTGCAGACAAACAACAGTGTTGCAGTTACAGTTATTTACTTGTCCGAACCTCAAAAGCAAATATCAGCACATTTCAGTGACTATTCATTTGCTTACAAGCGTCTTTTCGCGACGATGACAAAATCTAAGAATCATATGTATATACATATGTATATTGAAGAACTTTCCAATGTTCCTTCCAGAAGGAAAAAGTAAACCTCGCAAATACATTTTTCAATTCTAAAATATATCCGTAACTCGCAAAAATCTTCGTCGATATTTATGTATACTTGTAAACTTATAAACACATGTTAATGAATATTTCGTCGTTCCTTCGAGCGAAAGGCGATTCGCCGTTGTAATAATTGCGCCTAATAAGTATTGAAAAAATATTGATTTTTATTTTAGGATAAAATTTGAAACCCTTAGGGCAAGAAAGCCCTAACGAGCTATAGGAAATACTAATAATAAAAATGTTAGGAAAGATGTAATAACTCCGGGAGCAGAGACTCCAAATGCGCCAACCCTTGATAACAATGGCAACACAAGTAAAAACGAAACTGTGGGACACAAATTTCTACAGCGTCAGCCAAAGAAGTTAAATAAAACAAATCTAACAATCTTTTTATGTCTTTGATTACATCTAATTGCATGAAAATGATGGCTACTATTCACTTCCAGGGGTTTATATATAGTTAGCTTATTGAATTTGCAGCGTTCATAGCGTTAGCTACTCCCATGACAGTAAAACAAGACGCTAATTTGCTTTATAGAATTGAGCTTTTATTATTTCATAAAAATTAAGAAGTTTCTTTGTGCATACCATTAACAAGTAATTCAGGCGATTTACTATTTCATTTTTGTCAATTATTATTATTTGTTGCTTCAGTTTCCTTTTGTATTTTATTGAAACTCAAGGATTGGCCAAGTTAAAAACTGAATTAATGTATTTTTTTTTAAACATATTTTTTCCATTTATATATCGTCGCCTAAAAGGAATATAAATAGAAACGGCTCATATTGAAATAAATTTTTGTTTAGGTTATAATTTGGTTATATCTGATAGTAAAATATTGTTTTTGATGGTTATTTTACATTTTAAACAACGATAGGCTTCAGCAACGTAGAAATTTTGGCTTTAATTTAATCTATGATTACATTTAAAAATTCGACAAAACTATTAAATAAAATATTGCAAAAGTGTTACAAAACGTCAAGTTATATTATACCATGCATCGGTTTCCAATGTGGTTTAACGTTGCTTACGGATGTGGTACAAATACTGTAATTAATCGATGCTTTGCAGTAGTACATTGCCGAAGTCGGCCATAACCTGCCATATGCCCAACGAATAGTTTCGTATGAATTTCATGATGCAATTGCACGTACAAACGCATATTTTAAAGAATAAAGCCGCATACCGAACATAAATTTATTGTCAACTGTTTACACAGAATATAGATGTTTCTATTGTTTTGGAATAAATACAATATGTTTTGTACACTATCAAACAAAAAGTAAATACAAAATAAAGATAAAATCCCAATTTTCCATTTACATATTTGTAATCCTAAAAAATTTTGAGATAATTTGAACGGCATGGATATTGTGTGGCAGTTAAAAAATGTAATGTGGTCGGTTTCAGATGTTATCTATGCAGTCAGCTTTAAGATCTTTAATTCCTCCAAGAACTTAGCCTCCATTGAAATTTTATTTAGTTGGTTCAACTCTAGCGTTTTACCTTGCTGTTGGCGCAACTTCAGTTTTTTAATGTCGGACAATTTTTTTGCAACGTGCCGAATTTTCTTCTCTTTTTCTGGGTTTAGTTTTTTTGATGATTGTATTTGACCTTCTTGACTATTTGCATCTGTTTCCTTGTTTAATGGTTGCTTTGCTTTGAATTTCCGACCTTGATTATTCAAATGCTCATCATTTAAATTCGATTCGTTTTTTAAATCTTTTTCGGCACTAGTTGCAGGTGTCGCATTATTTCCAACAACCGTGTCTTTCTTATTTTTTATCCTGTTTCCTTTCAAACCGCCTTTTCTGCCAACTGGGAAACCTTTAAATATAAATTATATTATTATATAAAGGAAGTATTATTATTATTCATGTAATAAATGTGTACATTGAACATTTTTTGATAATTTTTTTAACTTGAACCAAAAGCGATTGAAAAGTTAAGAAAAAAAATCTCTCAATTTTGAACCAAAATTGTACATATCAACTTGAAACATGATTTTCTTGATAATATAAGGAGCTAGTTTTCAGTACAATGAGCATCAAAGTATCGGCTTGGCTAACCTCAGAACGGCATAAATTTATAGAAATCTATTGATTCACTACGAAAAGTGTCAAGTCCTTTTATAGAAAGGAATTTTCTGAACATAAACTCCAATTATTCATTAATTTTATATTATTATTATTAAACGAACAATATACAAGTAATTTAAATACATAAACAATTTATAATATAAAATAATATCAATTATTATAATATGATACGCTTGAGAGGGATAGTACATTTATAGACATGAGATTTAGAATGAATGATTGCAGGCAACAATGTGTTAGTGAATGAAAAGCTAGTGATAGTCGAGTAGCTTGCTCTTCAGGATAGTTATAAACTGTTGCTATATGATTCTCCATAGAAGTCTATGTCATTGTGCAGGGAGTTGACGAGAGTAGCGATGCGATTAAGAGGACCGTGAACCACATAGTTTTTAGATGACTGTCAACTCTTTTATTAGCTGAGAAATAAATTAAAGATATTTGGCTGTGAAATTAGTGTTTGTTTTACTTTAAAGTTTTGATCTTATTAAATTAAATTAAATTAAAAAACAATGTCGGGCCACAATGATATACATATAGCAGCCATAAAAATCGAATTACGAAATACATGTCCTTGCATGGAAAACTTTTATATTTGCCGAAATATCTTTACACAATTTGAAATGGATTATTGTCCAAGGCAACAATATAAACAAAGAAATTGTTCAGATCGGACTACTATAGCATATATGTACATATCAATACGAACATCTTTAAACTTATTTATAACAAATGCACCTATGATGAATATCCTCGCTTCGGTGCAGCCGTAGTTAATCGTTTTTCTTCTTTTTTATTTTAAATATTTTGTTTTCTCCTTTCATACTCTTGCAACATGTGGTTACAAACTATAACAGTTTTGTTCACGTAACGGTGGTTTGTATCACGTAAAAATAACCGAGTTAGATATTTAAATGATAACTGGAGTAATAATTAAGATAACCTTACGAAACTTGGTACATTCCTTTTGCAAAAAAAAGTGGAAGAGTTCGTAAATGGATGATGGGTGCGGTACCGACCACATTTTGGTGAATAGCTATGTATATCTCAAGACCTACTCTACCGTTATTGACCAAATTTGGTATATACCTTGGCATTCCTATTTGGCTTGGACAAGTATTTAGCGCACTTTAAAAGATCAGTAAAGAAAAATAAATATTATTAACACGTGGCGTAAAATTTCTCTGATATTATATCTAACTTGGTTAATACTTAGTGGATTAACCGTTATTCGTTATCACCGCTTCACATCTGCTTGGCAAGCCCTCTATTAACCTTTGGCATCTGCCCAAAGGAATAGAGTTCCACGCTTCCTGTAGTCCTGCCCAAAGATCGTCGCAATTTTTAAATTTTCTTTGACATCATTTCACAAGTTTTCGATTCCACAAGTTTTAGATCAGGACTTTGCGTTGGCCAATCGAGAAGAGGAATTTTTACTTGCGCAAGCCAGTTTTTTACCACATTTTCTGTATGCTTTGGATCGTTGGCGTACATAAAGATCCAGTTTACAGGCATAATACCATAGGAATATGGCTCCATTGTATTCCTCAGTATATTAAGGTATGCAAGTTTATCCATATTCCCTTCTATCTTTACTAAGGGTCCAACTCCACGCCATGAAAACGACCCCCGTACTTTTAAATTTCCTTCCCCATGCTTTACGGTCTTTTTGATGTACCTTGGATTGACTTCTTGGTTTTTTCCACGATGTATAAATGTTTTATCATCAGGACCAATCCGGTTTATTTTAGTTTCGTCCGTAAAAAGTATCCTTTTCCAAAAATTTAAATCTTTTGATCTATGGCTATGAGCGAATGACAAACGCGCTTTAATATTTTTTTTCGACAATAGCGGTTTTTTCTGCTCACACGTCCATACAAATTATTTTCATTTAAACGTCTTCGTACTAGTCTACTTGACACTTGACAAATGCTGGTCAAAGCAACTAAAGCATTAATGGTGTGCAGACGGCTGGCAGGTAAAAGGTTTAAGGTTACCCTCGGTAGTAAGAGTAAGTGGAACGACCCCACTCTTGAGTAAATGCTAAGGGATAGTACATTGAGGTGGTACACCGACGGCTCAAAAACGTCGGAAGGAATAGGTGCGAGTATTGTAGGCCCGCGTACCAAGCTTTCCATTCCGATGGGAAGCTTTCCGAGTATTTTTCAGGCTGAAGTCCTGGCTATAAGTCGGTGTGTAGAGACAAACCTCCACCGCAAC